TGAGTCTGTATGGGTGGAGGATGGCCGGAATAGGGTCTTCTCACTGTGTTCGTCTTACTGTTTTTGGTTTTTCAACCATGAGTGTGCCTTTCTTAAAATTAAATGAGAAATGCACCTGCCTTGTTTTCTCTAAATAACCAACACAACAAGTAAAACAGAAAAAGGAATGCTTGTATTTCAGCAGAACCTACCGTAAGTGAAGGGCTCCCCAGGCTCTCCCTTCCTGTTGCCATGTTGTGTCTTTGTACAGCTAGTCTCGCTTCTGCTGGAATAGTGAGGACTGGTCTTTCCGGTGTTACTTTACACAAACACGCTGGGGTCTTGTTCAGTACCAGGATGCTCCCTCCCCAGCTGCCTTAACGATATAGATTGAGGATCAATCCAGGATCCCACGTCCACATATACCAAGCTGTGCATTGTTTTTACCGCCTGCATAGTATTCCAGCACCTGGGCTTTAATTAACTGCAACCAGTCCAGTGTATTTAACTGCTGGCCATCCCTCATTACTAGCTTTTGCTTCTTCACATCAGGCTGTCTTATAGGCTCTCGTCCTTGGACAGCACCAGGTTCTCCACTCGCATTAGCGACACGTTGGTCTGGATAACTCCTTGCCGTGGGTCCTGTCCTCTGTGTTTCAGGATGCAGCATCCCCGGTCTCTACCTATGAGATGTCAGTAGCAACTATCCTACTCCCCTCTTCCCTAGGCTACCCCCACCCCAGTATGTGACAACTGCAAATGTTCTTGGATCTTGGCATATGCCCTCTGGCAAGCAAAATTGTCCCTGGTGCAAAACAGCTGATTGAAAGATTAGATCGCAAAACGAGGGTTCGCTGGGTCTGGTTGAATGTGCACGCCGTAGAGTCCCATGGGGGACAGGTACTCTCCTAGCGTGTGTGAGTGTAGCTTCTGCCTGCAGTGAGGATTTGCTGCCTGTAAAGTCCTTGGTGCAGGATCAGGCCCTAACCCGCTTCAGTAAATGCTGGCGCTGTGCTTGTCCTCACGATTACTGTAAACCAGCCCTGGTTCTGAGGGACCCCAGCCACACTCACCTGCATCGGGGGTCTCGTGGTTTGTGCTCGGCCCCGCTCTCCCTCTCTGCCTCTGTTAACACTCTCCTGGGCCTCTCTTGTCCTCCCAGGTCCTGTTCTCGAACATCGAAGACATCCTGGAGGTTCACAAGGACTTCCTGGCTGCCCTGGAGTATTGTTTACATCCCGAGCCTCAGTCTCAGCATGAACTTGGGAATGTTTTCTTAAAATTTGTGAGTACAATGGCCCGGCCCCTATCAGAGACTGCAGCTTTGGGGAAGTGGGCTTCTCCCCCGGGTCCCTCTCCACTGACCCTTGGCCAGCTTCCTCTGCAGGCCTGTCTGGGGCATGGCGGGCAGGATGTAGTGGGCAGGCGGGCCCTGCCTCTGCTCAGGAACAATGGGCAGCAGGTCGGGCCGTGCGGCTGGGGGATTCCTAGTTGGTTTGCCCGCCCCTCACCGCCACATGGAGCTTGGCCCCATTTCTCAGAGTCCCTTGCTGAGTGGCTGTGTGCCGGGACTCCCAGGGCCCTGACCCAGCTGGGCCTGTGGCCCCAGAATGCCCAACAGAGACAGCCATTGGCCAAGAGGGTGGACTCAGGCCAGACCTGAATCCTGCCACCGACCTCCATGGGTGTCTGCCCCTTGGGTGTTCCCCTGGGCTCCTGGTCAGAAGGGCCTCTCTTTCCACAGGATTCCCGAATCACTTGGAATTGTGGGGGTACAGCTAGAGGAAGGAGGGTGGGGTGCTCAGCCCGCATACAGCAACACCTTTTTCATCCCTCTCTGGGGCCCCTGGGGTGGGGGAGGGGAAACATGCACTTGCCCCCTTCTCCCCCCGGGTCAAGGCTGGGGGCAAGCTGTGGCCTCTCCGAGCCCCCCTCTCTCCCCTATCAGACCCCCTTCTTGGGCTGCGCGGAGGTCCCTCCTGGTTGCCGTGAGCAGCGCCAGCACTGACTCCCTTCTCCGTGACCCTGGCGTTCTGGTCAGAGACGGTGGCAGAGCCTGGGGTGGCCCTGCCCTGGGCGGACAGCTCCCAGACGGACTGTCTGGCTTGGTGTTGGCAGGGCTGCCCCCAGGCGGCGGTGCGCTTACTGGAAAGTTATTGTAACTTGTCTGAGCCTCCGCGTCTCTACCTGTAGGACCGGTAGAAGGCTGGACGGAATGCAGATGTTGAGGGCTGGGAGGGACGCTGGACAGCTCCAGGCACAGGCGGTGCCCAGGCCACTGCGCCGTCTCTCTGTTCTTGCCGTCGCCACTGTCCAGTGGTAGGAAGAGCTCAAGAGCAGGATGGGCCAGGCCAGGTGGGCACTGGTGGAGGGCGGGGGGTGGAGGAGAGATGGGACTTGCCCTTTGCTCCCTGAGGGTGGAGAAGCAAGGAGGCCGGCAAGGGTCTGAGATGACGGTGCCCTGAAGCAGGGTGGGGGCAGGGGTCAGGGCAGCCCGAGAGGCAGCGGCAGCGCTCGGGGAGATGAGACGACGGGAAGGACAGGAAGGAGCGCAGGCCCTCAGTTCTCTGGAGCCGGGCCGCTGTGCTTCGACTCATTCCACCGACTCGGCCAGTTGCGTCACTGCTCTGGGCCTCATCTGGAGCTCGGAAACAGGCGAATGGACGGTGCATGCCGCAGGGGCTGTCTTGATGAAGTGAGTTGGTTTGATCCAGCACAGCGCTAAGTTAGTGCAGCCTGAGCGTCAGCTGTGGAAGAGGCCCAGCTGGGCACCTCAAGGCTTTCGGGAGGGGCGGCATTATTGGGGGCCACCCTGACACGATGACATCTGAACTTGGAGGGGGGTACTCCATACTTCAGCCAGAGCTGGGAAGGGGTCCTCACGGGGCACTGTCCCTGGGGACTCCCCGGGCTTCTCTGTCTGAGCCACAACCGTGTGGTGCGCCAGTGAGTTTAGCTCCTTGCTCCAGGAGGGGCTCTGGGTGCTGAGTCCCCACTTGGGCTCTCCCCATTCGCTGCAGGAGTCCCGGCTGTGGGATTTAGCAAATAAAATAATCTAGGACAGCCAGTGGCATGTGGGTTTTAAGTAGTCAACAGAGACGTTTTTAGTGTGTCTCATGCAACATTTGGGGTGTACTAAGACTAAGGGTGACGTGCTCATCTGCATGAGCCTTGGTGGGTGCCTAGGGTTCTCTGGCAGCTCTAGCCAGAGAAGGCCTGGGAAGAGGGGTACACGGGGGTGTTCTGATGGAGAGGGTGGCCAGGGCAGAGGCCCTGGAGTGGAGCCAAGCAGGGAGACCCCTGGGGCTGGAGTGCAGTGAGTGGTGGAGGAGTTCACGGGCGTCTTGGGGTTTCTGTTCAAGCCGTTTTGCAGGGGTGCAGCGTGGTCCATGTTCTAATCACCCCCCCCACCCCGAAGCTGTGTGTTAACTTGGGGAATCTCTGCAGAAGTCAGACCTGAATGCCCCCTCCCAGCAGGAGGCGATGCCATGTGGCCAGCCCCTTCTTTGCTCTGAGTCTCAGTCTTTCTGGGGCTAAGTGAGCCATGGGGGAGCAGATGGTCTCCATGGACCGCCCCTTACTGTGGGCAGCAGCTGCCCCCTCTGGGCCCCTGTCCGTCTTCCCCAGGCGCTGGCTGTCACCTTCTCTGTCACAGCCCAAGCCCGTAGCCACAAGTTCCCCACCCACCACATCTGTGGGCACAAAACTGCTTGTCCATATCTTCCTGGCAAAACAAAGCCCCACGTGGGGCTCTTGGGAGGAATGGCACACCTGGGCTCCTAACTGTCACAGGCAGCATTTCCATATTCGCAGGGTTGGGGACCCGAGAGCAGCTGGGGTTGGGCTCAATGAAATGACTTGGGGAGATGGAGTGGGCCCGTGGGCTTGAAAAAGAGGGGGTGTCAGTTGCTACATTTAACTTCTCTGAGCTCCATGCCTTGGTCCCTTGCCCTGTTCATAGGCTGAAGGAGCAGAGTATGACAATGCAGACTGTGTCAGAGAAGGGGCTCAGGGGACAAGGATTGACAAGCCTGCAGCGATCTTATCACTGCCCCAACCTCCACCTGTGGCAGGCATCACTAATCAATCACAGCATCTGCCCCTGCTCCCCACGGAGCTCCAGAGTTCTTTCCAGTATGGCTGCCAGCACTAGCCATTGATTGGGGTTGACATGAGAATGAACAGACTTGTTTCAGCTTTCTGGTCCAATCCCTTCATGGCACAGATGGAGACGGACAGGGAGGCCCTGTCCTTTCACCAGGCGTGGGTCCATATTTTCATTTTCTTTTCCTTTTCCAACTGTTATGTATTAGGATTTACTGCAAATAGCAAGAGCACTAACTCAAATGGACTCTAAAAAAAGGGCTTTACTGGCTCATATAAATGACATGCTTGGGGGTGGGTGGTTGGCTTCAGGCATAGCTGGATCTAGGGCCCCATGTAATGTTTTCAGAACTTTGTCCCTCTCTCTCTAGGCTTCACATTCTATTGTGTTGGTTTCATTGTTGGAGGGTGGAGGGATTGTACTCTTCAGGCTGATACTGAAGAGCGCTGCAATTTTTTTCCAGTTGAGCAAAAACAGTTCAAGGACAGCGGTTCTTCCCAAGCCCTTGAGGGACGTCAGTGGCCCCACTTAGGGCAAGTGGTCACTGTTACCGGGTTTGGCCTGAGTCATGTGCTCACTACAGTACCTGAGAGTGAAATGGGGTCAGTAGGCTCAGAGTACTGAAGAAAAACTGAGGGTCATGATCAGAACAACGGGTGCAAAACATGTTGCACAAAGAATCAAGGTTGCAGTCCTGGACGACTCACGTTTCCTGGAAGAGGCCATGGGTGCTTGGGTGCTCCCTTGGCATTCTTGCCTTCATTTATTAAACAGTCACCACGCCTGCTCTCTGCCAGGGCCTGCAATCCCTGATGTCATGATAGCAGTGACCTTGGCAGATGCAAAGGCTACCTGGGGGGCTCAGGGTCTGGGGGAGTTTGGATCAAGATGGACCATAACGTACTGGGCATCGACCATGTTTCAACTCCCACTATATTTCTCAAAATTAACATGGTGGCCTTCGCCAGACCTGTGGGCTCCTTAATCCTTTCTTCCTGACCTTGCCTGTCTCTTTTCTTGCTATCAAAACCTAGCTATGCACTGGCCCACCCTGTTATAGACTGATTCACCAATAGGATAATGAATTTGCTGAAAAATAGGGATGATGATAATAATAATATCAATAACAGCAATAATCTAATATTTAGTGAGCACATGCTATATCCCAACTTTAAAACTCCTGCTGTGAATTTTCTTGATAATGCTTCAGAAACTTTGTGATGAGAGAGGTCATCATTGTATAGTATTATCGATGTAAAGTATCTCTAATTTTATAAATGAGAACATAGAGGCTCTGAATCATTATAAGCCTTGCCTAAGTTCATGGAGTTGGTGACCTGGGGATTCAGGCTGTAAACCCAGGTGGTCTGGCTCAGAAGCTTCCATCATGGCTTGGAATCTTACATCAGTTGCACAAGGTTGGTGGTAGTAGTGGTCTTGTCGGTCTGCTGTCTTATTTGGGAGCAGTTACAATAATAGCAGGCCCTTTAGTCCCAGGGAAAACCCAGACTCTGGGTTGCAGAGAGAGGTCTCTGCAAATGGTTGGGATCTCTGACTGTCACTCTTGAGCCTGAATTCAGAGCCCAGCCTCCCTCTGAGCTCTGCAGGTATTCTCTGTGGGAGCAGACTCTCATGCACAGGCCAGTTCTTGCCACCTGCAGAAAGAGGTCCTCTCCTTCTCCCTGCAGCCTGCCTCACTGTGGCCTGCAGCTGAGACCCTGGTTCCAGATTTATCAGGCAGCCTCCCTTTCATATTTTTATCTGAGATGGGTGAGCCCTGCAGACTGAACTTCTCACCCATCTCTAGTACCTCAGTGGTCCATTCTGCTCATTGGAGATAAGTGGAAATTAAAAGGGTCTGTTTGGGCAATGTGGGGGGGCGTGGGGGTCAGTTCTCCTTCCCTGCTTCTGTGTGTATGTGTGTGTGCACCTGTGCACATGTATGTGTGTAATTCAGTTGGCCGCAGACAGTGAGAAGTTGGTGACTGACGTCAGTGATGTTTGGTGCATGTGGCTTGTGTGTTGTAATGCCACAGGTTGTTTGCTGGTTCCCTGGAGTGTGTATCGGGATTGCTTGTCCTTGGTGTGTGTACATGTGTGCACTCTGTGAACATTGTTTGTTTTGGTATTTCCCCCCATTGGTTCGTGTGTGTTGATAGCTAATATTTCTGAAGTATTTCGAAATATCATATCACATTCATGTGTACCAGGCATGGTTCTACTCATTTTACATGCATACTGGTACACTGATTAATCTTCCAGTAGCCCAAGGAATGTGGGTGGTCCCCTATTATGCCCATTTTTAGATGAAGAGACTGAAGCAAAGGGGAAAGGCTGCTTGTCCAAGGTCACCACAGCTTGGGGAGTGTGGAGTTGGGTTTTCCAGCCTAGTGGACTGATGCTCGAGTCACTGTGCACATTGTTGTTGTCTGCAAGGCCCCTTGAAGTCCCCTGCGTTTTTTTCTCCCACTCCCGTCTTTGTCCTATTCTGTGACCTTGAGCTGGACATTGGCCTAGTGGAGTCTGGCCCTGCCACTCCACTAGGTGTTAGGCCCTGGGCTTGTGCTCTCATCTTCCCATGTCTCAGTGGAGCCAGCCCAGTAACTGCCGTGTCAGGCTATTGCGTCCAGGAGTGAATGAGCTGACCCTTAGCCAAGAGAGTGCTCTTCCCCACGCACTAAGTGTTCAACACACATTCTGGTTTGGCCCTTGACTCTGAGTGTAGGGACGTTGTGCTCAGGACAAGGGTGTTTGCTCAGATTATGCACATGGTGCTCCCCCTTACCCCAAATAAGTTAGTTTGGGGTGCTTACTGATTGTAAAACCCATTCTCCCTCTTCCTTGGTTTCCTCTTCCTGCAGCTACCCATCTGCAGGATACTTGGGGCTTGTTTAGAAACAGGACAGGCTGCTTGCTTTGGAGACCCACCTCTTCCTTCCTTAGCTTCTTGGTGTCTACGGTCGCCTACCCCCAGCCCAGCTCAGGGTCGAGACCCTTCAGTCCTTCCTCCCTGGTGACTTTACCCAGGACATCCTTGTTTGGGGTTTGGCAGGGTGTGTGGCAGTGAGCCTTTTGGAACTGAGAGCACACAGTGGAGAAGCTTCCTGCTAAGACTCCTGTTCCTTCTAGTTCCGGAAACCCTGTTTGATAGTTGTGGATCTGGTGACTCACAGGGGACCTCTAGGCTGGAAAGAATCCAGTTGGGGACTCAGGAACATTAAAAAACCACTGCTGTATGACAGGGACCAGAGATCTACTTGTTTTCCCAAATTCTGAGCCTTATCTAGACTTTTCTAGTATATGTATATATATTTCCAGACTTTTGATTCAAAACGTATTCTACCTTCACACTGACTTCATCTTGCTTGGCGCTCTTCCAGTGATCTCTATGTGTGTGTGCATGAGCTATTGCACATAGTAGCTATGTAAAGTTCATCTGTTGAACATGTACTCCTGGGGGGCTCACTGCATGCCAGCACTGAGTTAGTATCTGGGGGTACTTTAGCGCACAAGATGGATAAAGTTACTGCCTTCAGAGAACTGACTGCCAACTTGGAAACAGAAGATAAACAAATAATTGGGGTGATTCCAGATGGTGAGAACACTCTAAGAAAATGAAAACAGGTGAATGGGTGATAGCCACCTGGTGGCTACTTTAGATAGGATAGTCCAGCTAGCATTTGAGGAGTTGACCTGACAATGGGGAGTAGCCAGGTAGGGGACTGAAGGGGGAAGAGCGTTCCAGGTGATAGAAACAGCATGCACAAAGGCCCTGAGGTAGGAACAAGCATGGCAAATGCAAGGTATTCAGCTGGAGGGCAAGTGATGAGTTCAGGGAGAGGTAGGGCCATATTACCTGGCTCTTGAAGGTTACCACAATGATTTGTTTGTAGTGAAATAGAACACCTTGGAGCATTTTAAGCAGGGGTGTGACATTGTAGACCAGAGATAGCTATTTAGTGAGCACTTATGACAGGCTGAACATTATGCTTGAACTTATTTATTGATTTTTTAAAGATTTATTTATTTATTCATACAGAACTGGGGTACAGGCTGGAGACGCGGGGGGTGAGAGGAATCACCAGAGACAGAATGGGGAGCAGAGCAGGCAGATCAACGAAGTACACTGCTGAGGGGAGCAGCGGGCGGGTCAGGAGAGGTCTGCCACGCCATGTGAGTCACCTCCAGGGCAGGTGGGGATCAAACTCATGCGGAAGCGGCTTAAGCTTCTTAGTGCTGTGCTTTAACCCGCTGCGCCACCAGGGAGGGCCATGCTTAAACTTATTTACTCCTCATAAAAGCTCCATGAATTAGGGGCTGTCATGAACTCTCCCTTACAGCTGAGGAAACTGAGACAAGGAAACATCAGCTAACTCACCCAAGTTGATACCTGGAAATGTGGAGCCAGCAGGGGGCAAACCGGGCCTCTTGGATTACATCTGTGCCCTTGAGCCCAGGTTATCCTGCTTCCTGGAACGTTCCTCAGGCTGCTGGATGCAGAACTGGGGGCAGGAGGAGGCCCGAGAGCCCCAAGGCACGTGGGAGCTCCTGATCTGAAGTCCCCCCAATCTCAGGGTCTGGGTGCTGCTTTCCTGCCTCGGGCCTGCTGGCCCAGCTGAGTACACCTCAGAGTTTGCCTTCCTGCCGTGACCTCACAGCCTGTGCCTTTGCCTTGCAGAAGGACAAGTTCTGTGTGTATGAGGAGTATTGCAGCAACCACGAGAAGGCGCTGCGGCTGCTGGTGGAGCTGAACAAGATACCCACTGTGCGCGCCTTCCTTTTGGTAAGTCTGCTCACTGCCCCCACTGCTGCCGGCTTCAAATCTACGTGCACAAGGGAGGCTCTTGCTGCCTCTGTGCTGCCGGCCCGGGCAATCCATGGGGAGCCGGGGGCCGCCAGCCATTTTCTGTAAAGGGTCAGATAGTGGATATCTTGCCTCTGTTTGTCATAACATCCCTTTCACATGGGTCGAACTCTGCTGTTTGAGCTTGGAAGCAGCCATAAGTCACATGGAAAGGAATGAGCACGACTATGTTTCAATAAAACTTTACAAAAACAGGCAGCACACTGGATCGGTCCAGTGTGTTAATTCCTGTACTGAAGTAATGATCCTAGTAAGAGTGGCAGCAGCAGTAGTAATGATCGCATTATTAGCTTCCTTAATTATAAGTGTTAGAAAAGCCAGTTAAAGTTGATGTAAGCCAAAAGAAAAAAATTTACTGGTTTACTTTTCTGGGAAGTTTTAAGATCTGAGAGGACTTCAGGCACAGCAAAATCTGGGTGTTCAAATAAATGATGTCATCAGGAGTGTGTTTCTTGGCTCTGCTTTTCTCTGCTTTGGCTCTGTTCCCAGGCAGGCTCTCCCTTGGGGGCTGGGGCATCGTGGCGTAGAGCGCTCCTGCCTCTACGCTTGTACCTCTCATAGCCCAGCAACTCCAGTCAGAGAGAGCTCCTCTCTCCGGTAGTAAAAGCAAGAATCCTGGGTCAGATGGTCGTTGGCTCAGTTTGGCCTAAGACCTTATCTCCGAACCAGTTTCTACAGACAGCGGTGGGTTGGTGCTCTGATCGGTCACTTCTGGCGCTGGAGGGTGGGCTCGGCTCACCCATAGCATAGAGCTGGGTTCCGGAGACAGTCGGTGGGCACTGTGGAAGGAAGTTGGGAATGGATGTTGGTCAGGTCACATTACGGGCATCCATAATGGTCTTCCTAAAATTACAGAACTTCACTTGAATATAAAATGAATTCATTTGTGATCTCGGAGCCTTATCAGTCATTCTCTGCTGGGTATGAGTTAAGTATTTGCCTGCTTTGTCAATGTCCCAAATAACAGTGCTTTAAACAAAGGAGACATTTATTTTGCTCTCATGTTAACATGGTTGTAGTCAGTCTTGGGGCTGGCACAGGAGCTCCCCTATTGGGGGCCAAGGCCGTTGGGTTTGTTTTAGACTTTGACATGGTTTAAGACACCTCTCGCGACTTCCACACTGCAGGCAGTGGGGTGCAGGTGGGTGGGGAGGAGGTTGGTCCTTCTCCTTTGAGGCACAAGAGAAAGCTGCACCCTGCTCTTCTGCTCAACACACCCTGTTGGCCACACCTCAGCCGCATGGCCACCCCGAGCTGCAAGGGAGGCTGGGAAATGTAGGTTTCTTCTGAGCGGCCATGCGCCCAGCTGAATGAAGATTCTGTGGCTGTGGAAGGAGAATATGGCAGCTTTTGGCACAGGTGACCCTGATGGCCCCCAACAGCGAGTGACTTTCTATGAGTACATCCAGGACCCCCGCTACCCAAAGGTAGAGCATTCCTACTTGGTAGGAGTTGCTTGGTTACTTTGGGGGTTTGGGAAAGCGCCCAAAATGTAAATCAGTGGTATAGCATGCTTAATCACAAAAAAGTAACCTACCAAATCATATCAAATAGGCATGTTCTACTTTTGGATAATGAGCAAAACCTGTACTTGAAAAATAATTGAACATCTTATGGGCTCTTATGGGCCTTTCACATTTAAATCTCCTCATTTATTCAGTCACAGACCACCAGTGTACCCTTTCCCCCATTTCACTTCCTGACAGCACATGCAAAATCCAGCATACAAAAGGAGAGCGAGCTGTGCCCAGAGAGCTCAACTGCAGAATAAAGTTCTTAATTACGCTCCTCTCTAATGTAGCATCTCTAACAAAGACTTTCCAGAATTTTGATTCAGAATGTCTGCTTCCTTCACAGCGAGTCCACTGCTTGGCTCTTTCCAGTGAGCATCTGAGGGAGGGCAGATTGGCTGACTGGTTTCCACTTTTGTCTCAAGTGCCTTAAGCATTCGCAACTGATGCTTTCATCGCTGGTATCTGCAGCATTATATTTCCAGTCTTGCACTTACATTCATTAAATCGTCTGGGCACAAGGCAGAGATGAAGTAGTTCAGGGTGAGAGCGCTCACTTAGCTTCTGCCATCTGACTTTCGGCCGCCACGGTCCCTGCTGCCCAGGCTCTGGGTCCTTGAAGGGGGGTCTCCCTCTCTGGGGGTGTCTCCTTGGCGCAGCTGTATCTTTAAGGGAAGATGCCAGGAAGGTATTTGCAAGGGTGTGAGAAGGGAAGGGCCTTGCTTTCTCCCCGGCAGCCTGCCTGTGGGCCAAACTGCCATTTTCTTTGTAGCAGCTGGGCCAGGCTGCCTGGGCAGGGGGGAGTGTGGGTGCCAGCACACGTGCCATCTGTCTATCTCCTCGCCATCTCTCAGCTTTTGGCCACCTGCAGAAGAGCTGTCTTGAGTTTATTATGGGATGTTGAGGCTCTGGGAAGAGACCGAATCTGGCTTTCCATTCGTGGCTCATTGCTCTTGCAGAGAGATGGAACAGGGATGTCCTCTTTCTGTGCATTGGTTTCTGGTCTGTAAAATGGGGATGCCTTACTCATGTCTTCATCCAGCAGCTTCTTTTTTTTTTTTTTTTTTTTTAAGATTTATTTATTTATGCATACAGAACTGGGGTACAGGC